GTATTCAATGTCTGGACGAAAGGATTGAGATCATGAAAAAGTATTCGATGATATGACTGATCTCACTGAATTGATTTTCAGTGCATCAGCCAAATATTTCGCTCCTCCAGCACGTAGATGGTTGCTGGACAGAAGCATAAACCCCTAGAAAGCAAAAGTTTGTCAGTGTATCTTTGTTCTTTTTCCACTAAAACTCAGCATCAATGGGCCAGCAAATATATCATCGGAGAGCCCAGTCCATCCTCTACCGAGCAGTGTGTTTGGGTCTTACTCAGCTTCTAACTTTGGACGGAATACAAAAGATGACAAAGAGTCTCTCTACGATCCCATTCCAGAGCGCTCTACTTTTTTTTCGTTTTCTACTATGTACTTGGGATAGATCACAGATGAGCTAAAATGTCGTCAGCCAAGTGAATGCAGATTCTGCATTTATCCAACAGTGATAATTCAGAGAGCAACAGCAAAAGAAGTGGAAATTTTTCTACTAATAAATGTTACTCATTTTTATTGACTTGCATTGTTAAGTCGAAGAAGAGGATTATGGGGCAAGTGAAATAGTCTATATTGTGGAGAATTCTCGATGCTTTCTGAATTTGTATTCACTTGGTTGACGACATTTTATCTCATCTGTGATCTATTCAAAGTACGTAGTAGAAAACGAAAAAAAAGGAGATCACTTTGGAATGGGATTAGACATGCACCAACTCCGGTTCGAATCAAGAATCGACTCGACTCGTGGAATCGAGGAAAAGGAATCGACTCGAAATGATACTTCGGAGAACCGGAATTGAAAAATAACGGAATTGAATTTATTTTTGATTCTTATTCCCCTTTGTCTCTATCAGCTGATAAAGCGATACTCAAATAATAATCGAAAATGAATTCGATCCCGATTTTTTCAATTCCGGTTCTTCAACGTATCAATTCGAGTCGATTCCTTTTTTTCGGTTCCACGAGTCGAGTCGAGTCGAGTCCAAGCCAAGAACCGCAATTCGAGTCGATTAGAACCGGAACCGGTGCATCCCATTATGGGATCGTAGAGAGACTCTTTGTCATCTTTTGTATTCCGTCCAAAGTTAGAAGCTGAGTGAGACCCAAACACACTGCTCGGTAGAGGATGGACTGGGCTATCCGATGATATATTTGCTGGCCCATTGATGCTGAGTTTTAGTGGAAAAAGAACAAAGATACACTGACAAACTTTTGCTTTCCAGGGGTATATATCACCGAAGTACGACGATTTTAGTAACTATCTCCTTGTAGTGGTGTTAATCAACAAAAACATGGCTGACGAACGACAGTGGGGAGAATGTGGGACTGAATATCTCCGACTTTTACATAATGGAGCAAATGTGCCTTCAGAGCCTGTGTTGAAACCTTTTTTCGAATTATCGGCAGCTATCAAAAATGCTACTGGAATGCTTCCGGACAAATTGAAGCCGACATTGCACGAATTATATACCTTTTATGCAACCAACAGTATGACAATCAAAGATATACTAAGTAGTGCTTGTGCTGTGTTAGCGAAATCCATTCTGAAAGATATGGAAGTAATCAAATGTGGAATGAAGAAAGAAAATCAAAGGTTCTCACTCAGATTGAGCAGTAAAGTGATCCAAGAGTATTGGGAACAATTAGATAAATCTAGTTTGAAAGCAGAACTCGGCTTAAGTGCAGTACGTAACACATTCATACAAGAAAGCTCGGGGGATAAACTGCAGGGGTTGATTAACGAACTGGAAAAACTGGAAACGCAGTTGAAGGAAGATGGAGGAGTAATAGAGAAAATAGAGTTAGAAATGAACCAAATCGAAGAGAAAATTGCATCCCTCAAATGCCGAATAAGTCTTTTGGAAAAGAATACCACAAATGAAACCATGGCAAAAAATGAAATGAGACAGGAGTTGACTCAATTGAAGATACAAATACCGGATTATGAAAGGGTGCTGCTACAACACCATAACATCACGACCAAGCAAACGAGACCAGTACTTTTCGGATTATTCAACCGATCACAAGATATTGTTACTGATAACGGCGAAGCAACCGCAAAAAAAAACCTTGATGAATTGAATGTAAGAATAAAGATCTTGGAAACCAGCATGGGGAACTGGTCTATTGGAGAATTGGAAAAGAGTAAAACCGATGCAGTAAATGAAGTAGTAGTCCTTGAAGAGCAGCAAAAGGAGTTACAAAAAGAAAACGCACCAGCCGTAAAGAAGCGTATGGATTTATTGGCAATCAAAGAAAAAGTATGCAAAAAAATAGAAGCTGTTTACGAAGCGGCGGGCACTCGTAATACAGCAAGCATCAAAGCAATTGACAATCTAGCACAGAGTATGAAAAAAGCGTCAGATTCTTTGCGTATGGCTCATGGAACTATGAAAGAACATATAAAACGCTTAAGCGAGCGACCCGATTCTTTGATGTCTTCCATTTGTAGCGCCTTGAGTATAATAGCAATGGCTGATGGATGCCTTGGTACCAGGCAACTCAATGAAATTCGTGAGCGATCGCTTGGATGCTAAATTTCCGGTATCCACCTCCACTTATATTCGCATTAAAGACAAGTAACGCGTCCCGCTACGACTCGCTTGATCCTCGACTGAACGTTGTGGAATCCCTTTTCAGTATGAGATTTGTCTCGCTAAGTCATTCAATGAAAATAAATGAAAACATAGTAGCGCATTCGTGAGATCCTCGCTGCCTATACTAAATAATTCCTCTGAACTTCAATCGTTCACAAATGCCTTCCCATAACCTTCGAGAACTCATCTAAAGGTTTCCGAATATTCGATAAACAGCCGCCTAGTCAAAATAGCAATACACTTCTAGATCCATTCTTCTGAAGCTGTTCTGAAAAAAGGCCTTCGTTTCGAATAAATAGAGTAAACTCTGATAACATTCCTCCAAAACTAACTCACCTTCCAACGTTCCATTGTAGCCCGATATTTCATCGAACACGATCCAGAATACGTATCAGAATGAATTCAACGCTCAGGGTGGGGTGAGGGTGAGTTTCACAAGATTATTCTAAGCTACTTACGACGATCGTTTCGAACTTGCTTATGGGTCATTATCATATAAAGTTCGAAAGGTACGAAATCAGTTTCCGAAGTCACCTGTTGATTACAACAGTTCACGTGCTCGAGCTTTTCATATTTTGAGGTGTGTTCAGCGAGATAGAAAGTGGTGAGTCACTCCGAGAAGTGTCGAGCGACGGTATTTTCTAGGATTGGTGAATTCAATCAACTATCGAAATAGTCACCATCGGTCAGTGTTGACTAGTTGGGAAGCGTGATGTAGAAAGTAGATGGCTGCGTTTTTTATGACTTGTGTTTGTGATGAGAGTGAGTCGCTAGTCGTTTTGATGACGGGCGTACCACTTCGTCTTATGGCAAGGTCGTTCCTGCTTGCTGGTCGCGCTGTCGCAGTATTGATGAGTATGAAAATATATCTGGAAGAGAAATATAGTCTTGGTACTTCAATGATTTGATGATTGGGCTAGTAGCCTGGTGAGACAGATATTCATTTACCATTCTTAAGGGATCGATGCAGATCTGGCATTCAACAGTGATATCAAGAGGTTCTCGTGTTCTAATCTTCGAGTTGACAAGCACTCTCCTCGTATTGCTGTAGTTGTAGCTGTGTATGGTCGTACTGTTGTTGTTGTTGCGCCTCTTGTGATCGTTCCACTTCATCAATCTGTTGCGTTTGCTCCACGTGGCCTAGTATAGAATCAAATGATTGTGATGTTGAATTGTTTTCGATGGCACGTATTTGTGCTTGATCTGATTCTTCAGCTCTCTGCTTTCGCCTTTTTTCGTTCTCTATTTCATATGCTTCTAATGCATGGATCTGTTGTGATTGATCCATCTCCTCTTGTATTAAGGTTAGCTGTTCCAAAGCCGCAATACCTTCCAATTCATACAACTGTTCCTGTTCCCAGCGATCTCGTGGGTGCATCGTCTCCCAACCATACACCTCCAGCAAACGTTCCTCAATCACTTCTTCGAAAAATTCGTTAAAGGTCGGTGATCAACGCAGAGTGTAGTCATCATGGTCTCGATCGCGTTGCCGCTCTTGTTTCCGTTCTTCGTGCCAGTTGGATCGATGATATTGTTGTTGCTGAAAGTATCGATTTGTCATTTGTCGGCGTCGAATCTGTTATGCCAGTTGTTATTGATGTTGACGTTCTGCTCTCTGTTCTCGTCGTCGTTGTGCTCGCCTTCGCCGCCGTCTCCGTTGCGCTTCTCGCTGTCGCACCATAATTTCGATTCTCGATTGTTCAGAGATTAATAGTGACTGGTTTAGAATCATATTTGTCGTATTCAGATACATCGAAGGCTGACTTGTTGGAACGATGGTAGTCGATATCAGTTGACGAATAGAAGCTTCATTCTAAGCGTTACTGATCGATGGTTCTGAAGCGGAATCAGCGATCCGGGTATTGTTGGTATTCATTCTGAAACAAATAGCTTGTTAGAAGAACTCTTCTTCGACCATGCTTGTGTCCACTTCTCACGAGAATATTTTTTTTTACATTATAAAAAACGACTTACAATGATCGTGTTGACTTCGGCTTGAACGCTAGACGTTGTATGACAAAATTGGGTTTGAAGTGTTTCACAGGATCGTGATCAAGTTCTTTTGTAGCAAATATCTCAACGGATTCCAATTCTCTAGAAGAAAGTTGCGTAAAGGAATAGTTCATCGATGGAAAACAGTAGGTGTTCTCGTTTAATGAAGTTTCCCCTTCAAAAAGTAGATACATTCATAGATACAAAGTGTTTTCAAGCAGCACTATGAGGGTGAGGGTGAGGGTGGGCTGAGTTCACATGAATATCCTAAGCTGCTTACCACAATCGTTTCGGACATGGCTTAATCTGTCCATCATCAGGTAAGTTCGGAATAAGACACTGCATACAATAAATTCTCAAATAAAAAGCAGATAGATATGAAAGTCAAAGCAGACAACCAACTACAATCTAATTTTTCGAGAAAGAATTCATCAGTCGCAGAGAATCTTGGAAGGGGGAGTTTCACAAGATTATTCCAAGCTGCTTACGACGCGTTTCGATCGAGGCTTATTTCGATCATCATCAGTTAAGTTCGAGATGCGGAAGGGATGGCGTCTCTTCTTTTTCGAAGATCGTGACATATCTGAAAATGAGATTCGAAGGTTTTACTCAGTCTCTCACATGAATAGGCGAGTGGTTGTTCTACTGTTTGATGTTTATCCAAATAGCAAAAAATGAATGATCTCTCTCGGAATCAGTGTTTTATCCAGAGGGGTGCCCGGGGGAGCGGCGCTCCCCCGGAACCTGAATCCGCTCCCCCGGAAATTATAGCTGCTGCGGTGCAATGGCTTGATTAGTTCTGACAATAATCTGTTCAATTTAATAGTGAAGAGAATTTTGACTGCACTGAAAAAAATTTCCGTGTTATAGAAAACGTTATAAACCGTTGTTAACATGATCATCAACTCTTTTTCAGGTTTCTGCTCGTCTAAAACCTAATCAAGAACGATTCCACCAGATCAACCCCTTAACCGTCGATGATACGTTGCAAATTCTTGAACGGTTCAGCGTTTCAGCACCGCCAAGAACCTTTTTACACGTCGATTTTGACATAAACCTTTGATAAAACGTTTCTTAAAATCAGTCGAACCTTGAGTTTATGTCAAGATCGACGTGTAAAAAGGTTCTTGGCGGTGCTGAAACGCTGAACCGTTCAAGAATTTGCAACGTGTCATCGACGGTTAAGGGGTTGATCTGGTGGAATCGTTCTTGATTAGGTTTCAGACGAGCAGAAACCTGAAAAAGAGTTGATGATCATGTTAACAACGGTTTATAACGTTTTCTATAACACGGAAATTTTTTTCAGTGTGTGCGAAAGAAATAATTTTAATTTGATGCCTTTATTAGACAATATGAACATCTCTTCAAAATCAAATAGTATCTATAGATATCAGAACTATTCACACAACGCCATCTTTGTGGAAGCAGTCGGCATCTATATCTATTTCATCATTTTTCATCTGAGAGGTAATGTCTAAGTATTCTGATTTCATACAGCATACCAAACTTCGCTGAGCGATGATAGATTGCACTCGAGATTTGTTTCTCCTCACTCATTTGGCATATGTGTATGATCAAATGCCTGCGAGATGCAGTGGAATGTAATCTGATTAATTACCAAACGATACACAGTTGCGCATTTCTCCCTTCAGAAGTTATCCCCAACTAGAAAGAGCGTTGGTTGATTGGTATACTTTCACCCTCTTAGCATTGTTGCATATTCGTTGCTGACAAAATAGGTGAGGGTGAGTATCATGGAAAGAGAGTCAGCCACGACTAGTTTCGTCCTTTCTCAAGGGACTCATCAGGTAGCTTTAGCTTCTGCATTGTCTTCTCGTCGAACTTGAAAGAAAATTCAAACGAATCTCACTCCAAGCTTCGAATTCGAAGTTCAATGTTCAGCAGAGACAATCAATCGGGCTGAATTCTTGGAATCACTTTGTGGATAAGAATAACGAGCATCAATGGCAAACAACTTCGGATCTTCACTGTGATCGAGAACAACGGCAACAACAGCGAGACTTGTCGACGGCATCGTATCTAAATGGACCAAGGGAGGTAAGAAGAAGATCTCGTTGTCATTCAGCAGTGAACCTAATCTCAACAAACCTTCGAACGGCATAGCGAATCCGAAACCGAAATGCAAACGACCGTCGTTGCGCCAAGCTTGATGGTTTCGAAGTTATTCGACAAGTTTATCTCTGTTTCGTCATCTAGTCGGGCAAAAGAAAGATGAAGACCATGGACAGTTGCTACGTCAATATCAACATCATCCGGCACACTCTATTCATTGGGTTGAAGAAGAAACTGGTCATCGAAGAGACAGAGAAAATAATTCACGACCGAATCTCCATGGAACAATATTATCTTCGGTGTTACCAGAAGAACGAGAAACAAAGCTTCTCGACTGCTGTGTGAATCTACCATTGTTGTGGGTTGTTCTCTCTCTCCTCCGTGTTCAGTTGTCGTCAGAGGTCTCTGGCTCTTCTCACTATCTAGCCGGTCCATATGAACGGTCGTTGGATCGCGTTCATTCGCTGTTCGCTCTCTCTCTCTTCCGTTCTTCTTTTCGTTTATTATTCTCCTGTCGTCATCATTTGAACGATGCTCGGGGACACACGTCTCATCGTGGAGAAGACGATTGTTACGGGTTTCTCCTGCTGATCGTTCCTATCTTCTTGTTTTGGTTTCGCTTTGTTCGTTCCTCTCTCTCTCGGGCAGATGTCATAACCAAGGTGAATTATCCAGCAGAGATTTTCTTTTCAAGAAGGATGATTCTTGTTGTTGAATCGAAGGACGAAAAATGCCCGAAAAGGTTTCGATCGCATAGGTCTTTTGTCTGTCAGAGGATGTGCATTGTGTATATTTCGAGTTGGCTCCTTGAATAGATTCGCATGAATAATGCTCTTCCGTTTGTGTCGATTCCAGAAGAAATGGTGAGACAGTTGACATGCGGGATGTTCGACCTAGAACAGTTCTCGGTTCATTCTTCTTCATTCCATGTCGGTGTACTTACGGTTGGATCGAGGAGTCAGGATGGATTGCGGCATAGCACGCGTCAGAATGGTGATCTGCGTTGAAAGTTGATGTGAAGTTCGCTTCCTTTGAGAAAGTTGTCTCGATCTTCTCATGAAGTGAAATCTATCGTCGGTAATACGGCTTCCATCGTCAGTCGTGATGCGATTTAACTTGCGAGAAAATCCATCTAAAACAGAAGAGCATTCTTCGAATGAAAGATTTATGTTTCGAGGAGTAGATGGTCAGCTACGCAGTTCTTTGGTGAGAAGGGAAACCGGATAGATATAGGAAACAACTAGTCCTTATTCATGCGATAGTGGTTGATTCATTTGAAGGAGAAGAAAATCGATCTGGTCGCTTTGTTCCAAAAGGAGAAGCTCTTGGTCGTTTCGTTCTTCCTGTTTGGCTTGTGCGAATCGTTCTTCGGCTTCGATATTCTCCTGTTGTTCAGTTTCATCGCTTAGAAGTTGGAGGTGTTCGAGAACGGCAAAGCCTTCGTATTCAATGAGTTGTTCTTGCTCCCATCTTTCTCTTGAATTGATTGCTCTCGAGTTGTATGCATCCAACAGTATCTCCTCGATGGCAGAATCAAGTGCTTCTCGCCTTGGATCATAAGTCTCCCATAGGTTCTCGAATATATCGTGTGAATGTCTTTCTCTCTGGTGCCCTCGAGTGTAGCTCGTACGTGGTGGATCACGAGACGGCGATCGAGGAATCCAACGTTGTTGTTCTCGCTGTCGCTGCTGATGTAGCATGTCTCGTCGTCGCTCTCTTTGTCGTTGTCGTCGTCGCTGACGTTGCCTTCGTCTGGCTAGTTGCCTGGTGGTCGGATTATTCGGAGGCGCGACATTTGGAACTGTCCGAGTTGCGTCGACGACAATCGTTGTTGTCGCGACTTCCAACAACGGTTGACTCGTAGTCACAACGGCCATGGTTAATAGCTGATTAATATTCGTATCGGTAGGCTGGTTGCTCATCGAAGATTCGAACGGCACATGACCGAGTCGACTATGCTGGTCACACATCCTATCGAAATGGTAAAGACGAGAGAGTGAATCATCATCCCCTCTTCAAACATTCTTTCCAACGGTGGATACTCACTTGGAATCGTTCGGGATTCAGACGAATGCAAAAGACTACCGGTTGGAGAAATCTTAAAGAATACTGTGTATATCTAAAATAGAGAGGGAAAAGGATGAATGATCTTCTTGGACAAGTTCCACAAAGGAATAGAGACTTAAGCAAGGAATTATTCACGGAAGACTAATGCTACAAGTTCGCTGAAGAAGATGAAAGAGAAACACATGAATGACAAGAAACACGTACAGAAAGGAAGCATCTATGAGTTCTGTGTCCTGTTCTAGTTCTCATCCAAGTTGCATTGTTGTCGAGAGCTAGCCAGGCTGGCTATTCGTTCACCAGAAACGTTCGAGCAGGCTTTTTCTTCACCAAGCGATGTTCCAGCGGCGTATTGGTCCGTGTTCCAACGATGAGTCGAACATCTTTCACACGCGACTGATCATGAACATAGTAGCTTTGCCATAGACGACGAAATTCTTGTCGGTAGTGTGCCGTTGGACCACTTTCGAAATGGTAATGAACGATCAATTTAGTTCGGTCCCATGACTTTTTCACGGGGAGATATGTTGCCTGACCATCGATGTTATCAGATAGTTGCCGCCGTTTCTTCTCTTGTCTGGTTGGTTGATTGAGAAGTCTCACGTGTAATCGCTGATAGCAGGTAACATCGAGAAGTTTCCAGACCGGCAGCGCGTGATTCGCACAGAAGAAACGCTTGAAATGATAGTCGACAAATGACAACGGATAGCCACTGGTGAGTAAAGTCAGTTCGAACTTCAGTCGTTCGCAATCAAAGTCTTGCACGTTGGAGCTGTAACGAACAGCACGAACTAGACCACCATAAATAATGTTCCGATTGGTACTTCGAGGATGATCAGATGAGAACGGGAGAATACACGGTTCAGCAGCTGGTTTGTGAAATACGGTGGTTTTCAATTGACCATCCTGGTTTGCGATGCAGACATCGAGAAAGTCGACGGCCTTTGCTATTGCATAAGTGATACCGATATTCGAATCCCTCTGTTTGGCCTTCTCCAGCTCGGCCACCACTTGTTCGTATGATAGATTAGTAGTCATAAAGACATCGTCGATGTATCTAGTTAAAGCGAGACAGACAACGTGCTGGTACTTCATCTAGATAATAATCTATACTTACCGTCCGTAGAGTTCATTGTGACGTTGTTGGTGTTCGATCAAAGGTTGTTCCCACTCTAGCATGTAGATATTAGCCAAGGCCATGGTGAATGGTGATCCCATGGCACCTCCTTTGATCTGTTTGTAGTACTTTGTACCGTAAGCGAAACAATTGGTATCCAATACTAAGCGTGCGAGACGCAGGATCGTATCGATCTTCAGATTTCCTATCGAACCATTCTTCAGATGTTTCGATAAGAATCTCCCCAAGGCTTCGATAGCACCATTCCGTGGGATCATCGTGTACAAATCAGAGACGTCAAAAATAACAAAATGGGTTGTTTCTGACAAGCGACCCTCATTTTTGTATTGTTCCAACTGACGAATGACATCGATACCGCTGATGTAAGTTGTTCGTCGTGCCACTTTCAGATAGAGACACGATAAAAGCTCGTTGAGAAAGTTGGAAACACACAACACTGGAGATCGTTGATAGGACATGATCGGTCGTAGTGGCACATCGGGCTGAGGAGAAAAGAAACGGACAGCAGATGACAGTCAATGAATCTCTCGATTAGAAGCTTACTTTGTGTGCTTTGGGAATGAAGTATAGATGAGGTAATTCACACTTTGCTCGGTCAGGCATCATTAGTTTCCATTGTTCCAGAGTAATGGCCTTCTTCTCTTTCAGATGATTCAGTAAGGACAAGACAGAACTTAGAATATCGGCATATGGATTGATACCAGTGACAATCTCTTCGTAAGCTCTGGTCTTGGTCATATAATTCAATGCTTTCTGATCGAATTCATCCTTGTCGCATATGTAAAACACTTTGCTTTTGTCTGTGCGTCGGATGATGGCATTGGCACTCTTCAGTTTTCGTTGAATACTGAGGACAAGTTGGTTTTCTCGTTTAGCTCGAGCCAGTGACTTGGCTGATACTGGCGCGGAATGAAGGCGATAAAGAGCAGCTTTGCTCTCGCTGAAGAAATCTTTTGCACGTTGATCGGAGGCTGACATACAGTACGTGCCGAGACAACCACTCGTTCTCGCACGGATCTGTTCAAATTCTTTGTTGACGAGTGTGTCGATGGGTTTGCCTGAGAAACGACTTTGCAGAGGAGTAATATATTTCGGTAGACAAGCCAACAGTGTTTGTTCTTCTATGGTCAGTTGTATATCGACGGTGATCATGGCTCGTGATGGGAGAATATCGATGGCGATGGTTTGAGTGCTCCGACGGCTTAATGCCCAGCAGTTTCTTCGATGTTTACTGCCGCCGGAGCGTGGTCGAAAAAAGGCAATGTGTGTTTCATTCTCTGTTCACTTTGGTGGACCATGATACTTTGCCGTTGTTGAACGATATCCAATATTGATTTGCATGACGACGATGCGTCTGTTGTTGGTTGAGAGAGCCAAGTCACTTCTATCTCTTTGTTCGCTTCTTGTGCACGAGATCGAACGAGTGCTTCCATAGTCTCGATGGTAAGGGCCATCATGTCGTATTTGTATTGTGCGATACGTTTCTGACGAGAAGCAGCTAACAGAGTTCGTTTCTCTTGATGGAAACCGGGCGTTGTGAGGATCTTCTCAATGTTATCGACAGAGTGATCGAGTAAATGATATGAATCGGGTAGCCGGTTGGTTTGAAGCCGCTGTTTCAATATCGCTACCTTTTCTCTCGCCCTCTGTTCAGCATCAGTGGTTTGCCAAATCAAATGCGCAGAAAGAATCTAAAGAAAACAAATCTTCACAACGACTTCTTCTTCAATCGAAATCGAACCTGCTCCTGCGTGGGTCGAAGGTCCCAGAAAGATTTGACTAAGCGAATATCATTGATGTCCAACGCTAGCGCTGCTTCTTTTCGTTTGAATCCGTCACGCAATCGCTGCTGACCCTTTTGTACAAATGAGAGAATAGCAACAGCTAAGCTACTCATAGCACGGTTCGTTGACTCGTCAGGCTTCATTAGTAACGGTAGCGGTTGCTGCAAGTATTCGTTTAACTTGGACTCGGCCATTGCTAACTTCTTTTGAATGGCTTTTTGTCGTTTTTGGATGTTCTTTTCGGTCTTACAATAAGGCCATTGAATGTGACTTGAAGTGAGCGTTTTCTTCGGTAGCTGTGATAGCCAGCTTGCTTCAGTCATCGCCGTAGTCATGTACAGTTGCCAAAAGTCTTGTTCTACTTTCCAGTGGCAGACCTCATTGGCTAGACGCGCACATCGTCGAGCATATCGTAGCATTGGCTCTGTTTCTAGCCATTGTTCGATGGTTGCTCGATCATCCTTCACTTCGTTCAATAAATGCTGTTTGAATACAGCATCGGGAACAGATAAAAAATTGGGAACATCATTCGACGATTCCCGTGTCGTGCCACCGAAGCGATCAGTTTGCCACATTTCGCTCTCTCTATCATTCCTTCGTGGAGAAGAGCAAGGCTTCTTTGTTGTTGGTTGTGAAATCGATAAACGACTCAATGATTTGCTGAGCGCCTTTTCATCTGTTGCTTGCAAGTTTCGTTTCCGTTTGTTGACATTCACTTGTTCTTGCTCGGTGTGTGTCACTTCCTATTCAAATAGAACCATCCTACATGTGTAACAGATGAGTTAGTCTCACTTGATCAATCGATGACATTCGTGTTTCGTCTAAATCATCGGCAGTGATGTCTTCTTCTTCTTCTTGTTCTTGATCCGGTGCGAGATCTGTTTGACCTTGAAGTAGCTGCTGAATGGTCGCATCGGTGAAGCCTGCTTTTCGAAGCTTGGCTCTGTATCGTTGCAGTTGTCGATTTCCCCTTCGCTTTCTTTTTGGTTTCTCCAACGGCTGTCGTTGTTCATTTGTCGTGGGATTCATGGGAAATGAATTCTATCTCTAACCTTGCGTTTCGTTCGTTGAATATCACGAGAACTGATGTCGTTGCTTGTAGTAGATTCGAGCAAAGCTGTGATCTAAAATGAAACATACTGTAAGCATGGGTGGAACGATGTGATCCAGTGTGTTCATTTTATTTGTATAGATGAAGGAGACAATGGGGAGAAAAGCACAAAATATCTGCCTCCCACTTCAGCTTCCCTGTTTTTCCTGTTGATGGAAAATCGAAGGCGCATTTCTACCATCCACATACCCAAACACTGTAACCTGGAATCAATCTATGACTAATATGAAAAGGCAAAAGACGAAAGAAATGATCTGAAACAACACAAAACGAAAATCTCGAGGACTGTGAAACGAGAAGATATTTATATCTAGATGTCGATGGGAATGTTTCTCGTCTGGTTATTCTTGTTACTAATCATATTGTCCAGCATCACGCTTTAGCTGGTCCAGAATCGATGAAATCGTTTTCAATTGATTCTAATATTGAATCCAGAGCTTGTTGTATTGTATCCGCTTGTTCCATGTCGCCTGGTTTATTGATATTCGTTTGCTTTGGTGCATGTACAGTCCAGACTTGCATCTGAGTGGCCAGTTCTTCATCGATGGGCTGCTCGGAACCATTCTGTTGTTGTTGTGCTTTCTGTTCCTTTCGTTCGCGTCGTCGTTGACGTTGGCGTCGACGCTTCTCTTTCCGTTTCGTCACATGGTTCTGTACCTAGAGCAGAGCAGTCAGTTCATGATCACCTTTCACCACAGACATTGTACCGATTGGGAAGCCTTGAAACTAGTTTTGCCACGAATAGATTGGTATTGGCCCACTTTCCAGTAATATGCGTTGTGGACCGATAGATGCATCGGTCGACAGACAATCGGATCGTTCTCCGTATCCATCGACGCTACAATACGAACAAGTCTTCACCTTTCATCAATTCTCTCAGACAAAAACATACTCAAGTTGGATGACTGAAAATTGATATTGATCGAGAAAGACATTTAGTTTTATCTGACAAAAATCTGAAAAGAACAAACAAAAGGATAGATGAGAGAGGTCTTTTCACAACATCAGATGGGTTCAAGTTCTCTTTATTCTTTATTTTCAGTCATCCATTCATCAATCAAGTACTGTGGAAGGCGGATTAATGATCACCACAGCACTATAGCTGAGTGTTGGTTCCTCAGCCAGTATCCATTCCATGATCCGATGGTAGGGATAACGTCGGTTAGGCCGATTGAGAAAATCACGAATGAGCCGCTCGATTCGTTGGAAGAGTTCGTCTTCTGCGTGTTTCTCCGACCGTGTGTACTGCACTAAGATCGGTCGCGGTGGTGTCCCTGGTGTTCGTGGTGTTGATGTAGCAATGGGCACTGGTGCTGGTGATGGCAACACCATATCACTACCCATGACCTGTTGTTGTTGTTGCCGTTGTTGCGGATCTGCTGGTGAAGTAAAGGATGCTGTCCATTGATGCCACCAGCGACTTTGACCATCTCGCGAAAGATTGCCAGTGCTACCGGATTGATTTTGATCACGTTCTGCCATTGTTCTTTAATCGAATATCTAGATAAAAGTATGCATGGATACATCAGCAACGTAACAAAGGCACTGACTAGTTTTCTTGAATGGTTGGTCGCTCAGGGAATGATTCGAATATTACAAATCTAGAAATAGAGACATGAAACTCATCCATAGAATAACTTGAATCTGTATTAATGAGTTTGAGTTTATTCATCGACTCTATTATTGTACATAGGTATAGTTTACAGGAAGGAGCTTTTCAGTCAAAATCATTCCAATAGCCGTCTTGATCATTGTGTGTGCAGGAAGAAGTGGATGGATCCTTTGCTTCTCTAAAAAGATAGTGAACGTGACCTTTCGACCTGACTATGACTCTCACCAAGTGGTATTCGTATGATTGTACCACCCTTTTGAAGATGACTGGAGAAAGTTCTTCTCAGGAAGCGTCTTATCTGAAAAATCAATCACACGGATGAACTATTTTTAATTCAAGAGGATATGCTTTCAGAAGCAGGTATGAATGATAGGTTATTTTTCGTAAAATTCATGCAAGATCACGATGGGAATCTTGTTGAGAAACTCCATCTTCTGTTCATAGATAGTTCGGATACAGTGAGCAATATTCATCTGTCGTTGTTCGATCAGTTGCAGCATCGTCGGTGACAAACGGTCGTTGTCAGATAGTCGACGGTCCTCGAGCCACAGTTCAGCCATGAAGCCATCCAGTTCTCGTTGTGCATGTTCTTTGTGAATGGCAGAAGCGGTGATCATGACGCTATTCAAGTCGAATTTTGCCCGATCGATGACTTTCAAGTATTGCCGCATCAGAGTGGCACGCAGCAGTGGATCAGGCACCCTCTTGATGGTATTCGGTGCTTTGGCTCCCAAGATCAAGCACAGTTTCGGTAGTTTCTTGTAATAGACATATTCTTCGAACAAGTAGCACTCTCGATCAGCCTTGCGTTTGGCACATGCCAGTTGACAGATACGATTTGCTTTGCCAATCTATGAACGAGAATTCGACTTTAACAGTAGAGAGAGGGCAAGCATACCTGTTCTTGCGTGGATTTTTGTTTCACATATTGTAGCTGCATGAAGCGATCGATGTAGTCGTACTTGATGAGGGTGATGATAGTGTCGAAGTAGACGTTCACCGCGGGCAGTGCGTGTTTGCGCACTAACTCTTCGATTAGATAAGCCAGAGCAGGCGTAAACAGTGGCATTTCGCTTTTCAGTGCATCGAATTGAGTCAAATACTGATGATGCTGTTCGTCCAAATATGCAAGGTATTTCTTCACTGATTCGACGTGCCTTTCATACTCCATCGTATCACCTTCAACGATCTTGGCAAAAGCTCTGGCCAAACTGAAGGAATGCAGATAAGTGGGCCAATAGTGCAACTCTGTCTCTTCGTCTTGCCGTCGTGACGGATGTGACTTCTCCAGTTGTCCAGTGCCTGATTGTAAATAGGTGGTCCAAAGTTGTTTGTGTAGACTGATGATGGACATTTTGTAGCTGAGCAGAGTTAATTGTTCTAATTCCAAAGGATCGAATGGACTGGCATAATGGGTGAGTTCGCGGAAGAAGACGAATCTGAAGGTCGAAGTATAGGATAATAGGCAGCAGGGTTTCTTGTCGAGAAGGAATTCTGTGTTGTTGCTGTTGTCGTTAGCTGTCCCTGGCACAAAGATGGTATTGGGACGGACGGCTGGTGGCCATAGTTCATGTGCCATGTTCTCCAAGGTTGGATTGGACATTGTTCGTTCTAAATCTTGTCCTTCTTGCTCCAGATCAGACCTCAGTTCGTGAAAGAGATCATCGAAGTCAGTGGCTGTTGCCTTCTAAAGATGAACACGATTTTTCTCTGGCGTAGTAACAGAACGGATGCCTTACTGAAGTGGTCACGTCAGCCATTGTACACTATCTAAAATTCAAAAGAAACAATCAATTCAATCATCCTAATTTGTTATTCATCACTGATCCAAAATCTGTTTATGTCATATTCGATAGTGAAAACGATAGAAAAAAGTGGCTACAAAAGAGTGGTCATGTCTGGTCTCGATGCACTTGGCTGGATGATGGACGTTGGTGGATGGTCGAGATCTCGGCACCAGGAAAGATCGTAGGCTTGACCATAGAGGCGTCGGGAACTTCCTCCAACGGGACAGATCATATTGAGTTTAGTTTCAGCATGGATGATGAACAGGGTTTCGATCATGTATCGCAAGAGAGACGATCGATCATCAGGCACTAAACCAAAGAAGACTTGGTATACAGATGTTGTCGACCGAAGAAGATTCACTTACGAACAGCGATAATGAATACTTTGTACAGATCCAATGGAACAAAGGGCATCTGGTCACGATCGATGGAGAGTAGATGTCTGAAGAAGAAACGTTGCTGTTGTCGATCTTGATAGGAGAACATGAAGCCTGCTGATGGAAGTGGCACATGTTCAAGATAACGAACGAGTCGTTGGTCATCGATCACACCGCTCTGCACGAGATGATCTATTTCGGATGCGCGTTCGAGAGGCTCCCCCAAACAGTTGAAATGGTTCATCATCGTTTCATTGCAAGGTCGAGGGATGAAACACCAATACTGAGGATTACATTCGAGAAAGACACGCAGCGCCGATGGACACCGTGCAGCGTGTTGATAGAGACGCATCTTCTTTGCTCGTTCAAGCCTAGAAGAGAAATCTGTCCCCATGTACCAAGCTCAATCTCAGCGTACTCGTTGATGCTGTACGTCGGCATCCATCTTCGACAGACAGGCGAGCCAGTCAACCATTCATGGATGATTCGATTGGCTTGCTCTCGGTGATCTAAATCACAGGATATTGGAGCGATTTTCCCGCTGACAGATGCATGCGACTAACAGGCCATGGCATCGGAGAGCGTTCTCGCCGTGGAATCGACATAATCATAGTCACCACACAGACATGTCATCGCATAGATCAGATTCGATGTAGTACATGTCTAAACAGGACACATTTGCCATTGACTATCAGCTAAGACAATCCCTCTTGTACACCTACCGCAGGACAGTTGAGATAAGTGGTGTATCCATTCAGAAATCGATGCGCCGCACTAGTCGTGAAGCTGATGACGGGCCACGGCTGACTCCTCCGGTCTGCGTTCAGTGGATGGCAGCATCGACACAACGGATGGGTGCATTGGCTTAACTTGTAGCTCGCTTCCGGCTCATCGTCGCCACAGAAGAGGCCGTCGAATGCTGATCGAGGCCAGGCACCTCGAAAGCAACATGTTTTCATGTAGAAGAGATCCACGTCCATTTGCAAATAGAATTCAAGAAGCAGCACCATTTGACTTGAATCGAGAGCACTCCCACGCTCAGATGGAACGGAGCTACAAAGAATTCGTCGTTGGAAGCGATCGTACAATTGCAGAAAGTAGACACAATAACTCCGAAGTCGATCGGCATTGAACAGAAGGATGACTGGTTCCATCATGAAACGATCCGCCAGGGCTTCGATATCTCGCAGACCGATGCTGAATTGACTGGAATAGTCATAGTTCTCGAGAACGATCTGGGCTTCTGCTGTGTGAACAGCATTGCGCCGTTGTCTAATTTCATGTGACGAGAGACGAGAGGCTAGGAACACACGAGACATAGGAAAGTAAGGCAACTATTGATCAGCTTTTGCTGAATGCACATACCTGGGACATTCGCCAGTAGTACATGCTTGTGCGCCACACAAGAGGCGGTTGGAAACAGAGGCAAATAGATATAGCGATCACTATCGCGAGAGTGAATGGTTTGTGACTGATATCGATGCGAAGGACGAGCCATGATCGACGAGGAGTGCAGTTGAGGGAAATGACGGACGTCGACACTTAGCTATCTAGAAAGAAGAATGAAACAGCGGTAACAAACTGCAAGGATTTTCCCCATAGTTTCTTCTTCTTTTTTTCATCATGATGCAGTGAACAAGCAAAACAGAAACGAAAAGATCAGCAAGTTGAAAATGGCGTCGATGTGATGAAGATAAGTTTCTTGACGCTTCATTATGATAATGACCGAGTCATTTGGACTGCTCATCGTCTTCTCGCACGGTAGCCAATGGTGCAACTTGGGACGGCAGAATTCGCACGGAATAGGATATCGATGATTGTGATGTTGGTATTCGGTAAGTCATCACCCGAGGCACCGCTGGTGGTGGAGGCGGTAGCTGGGGCTTCGTTGGTGTTGACGGAAAGAGACATTTCCGGCATCGATCGACGGGGGTCGGTTGACTCCCATCACTGGAGGATGACTTTTTCTTTCTTGACGCATCCATTGGTTAATAGTAATATGTTCAAGGAGGGTACTAATCTAGAAAAAATGCAACGTGTTCAAATGTGGATTATTCGGGAATGACTGTGGCCCTAGAGAGATCTATCGTTTATTCACATGTTTGAAAACAAGAAAGATCCACTGATCATGGCGATGGAGGTACTTTCCATGGTGAGAAAACGAAGCCGCGCAGTGGAGACATGTCGTCCCAAGGACAATAACTATGCACGACGCGGTAGTTTTCGATATCGAATCTCACATCCTGATACGTTCCTCCTTGTTCTTCTCCTTGTACGGTGGATACTGTGTCATTGCGAGAGTGTTTCTGTGGTGGCGTCATTTCCAATTCTTCACGTCGTTCTCGTACTTGAGCAGCAATGAAGGTTGGTGAATTCACGTTTGCATCACCAGCGTCCAGTACTTCGTCGTTTTCCACTTCAATCTAGAAAAATGAATTGCCACAACAAGGACTACCGGACGGCAATTACTTTGCATCGCTCTAGCTTGATGTAGCATTGCATACAATCGTATAGATTGACAATCACCATCTTGTCTCGAAGTTGCTGGCTGTAATCGTTCACTTCGTGGTCGTCCGTTGTTGTGCTGATATCTGACGGCAGACGAGACTGAATATAGACTTGTGAATATTGTTGATCGTTCCGGTCGTTATCTTCATCAATGGCGTTTGCATCTATTGCAGACAATGAATCCATGACTGTTCGTGTTCGCTAATCCACTCTTCGACGATATTATCTACAACAAAACAGTATACCCATTATTCTTCAGTGTCACTCGGAGACACGACTGAAAGTATTCATTTCTGAAAAAAACGGACACACACACAGATTTACTATTTTAACTAACAAGGAAATGTACAATGAGAGGTCTATGTGATCTGACCATTCGATCGATTCCTCCTAAAGAAGCAGAGCAGATGAAAATGTCTCAGCAGTGTACAGCATCACTTACGATTATTGTCGACACTCCACATTGTACTCCTGGAGTTGCCTCTTCGTCCACTCGTACTCGAGAACGGCGAAGAGCTTGGTCATTGCCAAACAGTCATTCGTGGCATACTGAATCATTTGCGCGCGAATGATATTGGCGTTGGTGTCGAACATGGAGGAGGATCGAACATCACCGCGATCTAGACGTTGGCTCCAGTTGCTCTTCGTCCGAGTCTTGTCGAGGAACTGGTAGAAGGTACAAGCCACTGCCTTCTGCAATGACCATGGGTTGCTGCTGTTCTTCACGGGTCGATGTGAGCATATACATGATGGATGGTCATCGCGGGATGGAACGCCACACGTATGGCGGAAGGTGTTGTTGTACCATCCTTTGAAACGACCTTGGACATCGATCATGCGCATTTGATCGACCATGGTGGTGGAGAACAGCCCGCATGGGACGAACTCGGATAATTCACGGATGGCATCGCCCCACGAGAGTATCATGTTCGCCGGTTGAAGGATCACTTTGAAGAGCGATCGCATCAGCCAGAACAAGGTGGATGATGGGTGTGGGAGATGGCACACTTCAACCAAGAGAACGATCGATCTCTGCCGCACGAATTCGATCTGGATCAGAGCCGGTCGATGAGTGCGATAGTCGTTCTCGGTATCGATCGAGTATCGCATCGTCTTCCTGGCCATGTCGATCAGATCTTGTAACAGCAAAGACGGGGTGCTGTGGTTGATGTGATGGAGCTCGTAACCATTCAACGGAGTGAACGATGGTAAGGCACTCAGTTGAATGTTCAATTGCCGTTGACGTTCATGACGGGTCATTCTTCTCTAGATAAACAGTAGATCTGAAATGAAGCAACAAGAAACATCGATATGAGAAGTACAAGAGAGATGGAAATGCTACGAAAATAACGTTTATTTCTAGAGAACATCAACGAAAAAGATCACATTATTGCTTAATCCAACAGAATGATTTCCGCTGTGTGAGCAGCGCATTCAACGAATGACGATGCTTCGTAGTGAGGATAATCTTCGATTGTTCGTTCGATAGCGCTGGATGTCGACTGAAATGGCTGGACCACAGCTGATGGAATCGTTCGTTGAACTGACATCGTGGACCGAACTCATAGAGATAGTCGAAGCGAATCAGGCGGCTCTGATCGTCGAGTTTTTGCAATTGGAGGCAGCGTTGACGTTGTTGATCGAGAAAATCGAAGATCTGTCGTCGAAAGGAAGTGTAAGCGGTTCGATCAGAAGAATATCGCATGGCTTCCGCATGGAAGTAACCGAAGAAGTGTTGCGCATGGCTTTCGACGAAAAGTAGAGAATAGCCACTGGTCAGAAAGGTCAATTCAAGATAGATTCGCTCTTGCTGAAAATCATCCACTGACGAAGAACAGCAGACCGCACGAATGAGAGCGGATCGAAGCCAATCGCTATGGTTCCATTTGGCATGGCCACTGACGTAGGGCAACGTGTAACCTTGCATCGCGGGATCGTGAAACACACGCGTGTAGAGTTGACCATTCTGATTTTCGATGTAGGCATTCAAGAATCGCACATTTGACCCAATCAAGATCTGTAGATGAACATGAGGATGCTGTGCCGTGATCGCTTGTAGATGGGCACGCAAGGTTTCTTTTGAGCCGTTCCAAGTGAAGAACATTTGATCTCTGCATCTGAAAAAAATGACAGTCGATATCGGATGCCGGTCAACCCTTACCGGCCAAAGATTTCATCGTTCCGTTCCACTGCTTTCCCGATGATCTGCTGCCATTCGAAGAGATACATGTTCGCCAGTGTGTCACTCAAAGGCATCGTGTTTGGACCACCTCTAATAATAGTGTAAATTTTATTCTTGTAACAGAAGATGTTGTTGTACAGGAACAGTTGCAAAAGATTTTGAATGGTCGCCGTGGACAGATGTTCTAGTTTGGGCGTGGCTAGATTATCTTGCATGAAGTACCCCATGGTTTCTAGCATGCTCTTGTGAGAAGCCGATGTATGAAAATTGGTGATTTTCAACGTGCAGAAGAGCGTGTTGCCACGAAGACGATGCTGCGTGACAGCATATGCATTGAGCTTTTGAATGAGATCAGCTTCGTCGACGAAGGATCGGGATCGGATGATTCGAGCGACAAACGGGCGCAGCAACCGATTGAGATACTGGCCAATCTTCCATGTGGCGCTATGCCGTGATGGAATCACTGGCATCAACGATATTTCGCCCTCCTGATACAATGACAGTGAAAAAGGACCGATGACGAGCGTCTTACTTTGCCAATGTCCGGTAGGAAATACAGATAAGGTAGTTGCACCTTCGCTGGATCCAGCCGTAGCCAATCCACCGTCTCGTGATCCAATGCCTTTCGCCTTTTCAAGATGCTCAATGCTGAATTGATGGAATCGATCATTTCGTTGAATTCATTGCCGCCTCCTTCGACCGTGAGCAAGGCTTTATAGGCGTCCGTTGTGTTGAGAAAATCATCTGCTTTGCCTTCGAAAATAGAGGCATCGCCCACGTAGAAGGTGTTCATTTGATCGGCTGTTCGCCGGAGGACAAGGCTGTTCTTCATCAGAGAGTGTCGAATCGATTGCAACAATTCCTTTTCATAGATAGCGCGATGGCGAAGCGTTGATGGAATGGAGATCATGAACAGGTCTTGGAATTGTTCACTCGCCTGTTTCTCCAGTTCCATCGAGAGAGCAATGTTCACATGATACTTAGAAAAGAAGCTTGCCAAGCGATGCTGTAACGGTGCGTAGAGTTTCTTGACCATTGCATCGATCGAAGAATAGGAAGAGGAAATATGCATCTGACCCGGTGGAACATAGGTGGGTCCACGATTCAATAGTCGTTGTTGCCGATCGTTGAACCGAAATGTGGTGTGCATGGCCATCCTCGTCGATGTAAATCCGGTACTTGGTTTCTCATCCGCATACGCACAACGAAGATAGTAGTTGATCCGATAGCTGTAGATGTCTCGAAGTTTATCGGTGATGTTTTTCAACCGTCGTTCGATCAGATGGTGCAAGCTGGTGGACATTCCTTTGTTGCTCACTAGATTTCGATGGTTCTCCCACATTTTCTTCCATTCGACGTGGAACACTTTCTGACATTGGCTGAATCGTGCTTCTGCTCTGGCAATCTGGATCACTATGGTGTCCATCTTCTTTCGCTCGATTGTATCGAACGACACCGGTGCCTTATCGAAGAAGACTCGCATCTTCAGTTCGATCACTTCTCGTTTGTACCTTTCCACTTCGTGTTTAGTCTCATAGAGACGCTTGGCCACTTGAATTTGATATTCGTTTGGATTCTCTCGTGCATATTGGCGTTCAATTATTTTGGCATCATAATCATGTCCAAGCAAGGCAATTTTCAGATCACGCTTCATTTCCAGTGGTCGTATACCATGTTCCCGAACGAAGGACTCGATTGCTTCATCCATGGCTGGAGTCAAACCAAATAGACACTGTTTTGCTTCATCCACTTGTCGTTGACACCATTGAATCTTTTCTTCCATTTGTCGAACACGCTGATGAACCAGATGGACACAGGCCAAGTGTTCGTCTCCTTCATAGGTGGTCGACTTTGCTGCTAGCATGGCTGATTTCACTTGTGTGGACCAAACACGCCGATCGACCGATGTGATCTCTGCTTCGGGTTCCTTCAGTTCGCCTTTGCCAGATTGCAGATAGATCAAGGAAATCTGCTTGCTGATCTGCAGAGCAGCTATCTGATGTTTGAGGATGGCAACCTGTCGAAGGCTTTCCACATCGATGGAACTTGCCGCTTGATTCACTTTTTCCACCAGACGATGAAACATTCTATTCTTGGGTAACAGATAGGCGGGTATTGACTCTTGCTCAGTTTGTTCGTCATCCATATCCTGATCGTCGGACAACTTTACTTTCTTTGCCATCGAGTCCGGATGTGACGCTGTACTAATTTGTCGCTTTTTCATGGTAAGAGAGGATTCCGGTTCTTCCTCATTGTTGGTCGATAGCTGGCTGAAGTGTTGGGAGAGAACTTCATCTTCTCCTTCTTCCATGGATTGAATATCAGAGCTATCCTCGTCGGCTAGATCTTCTTCCTCCATCATTGAATGAAGATGGCCTTGTTCAAAATATCGATTCAATTCTTTTGTGGTGTACTTCACTTCATCTTGATCGTCGTCCAGAATATCGAACAAATCATGGATCGCTTCATTGGAAGCCATGATCTAGAAAGGAAGAAACAATCTATAAATAGTTTTTCTATGACGCTATCTGATCCGAAATTCATCTATTTTCACAATGACACACAACAAATCAACAAAAAGGAATAGGCACTAGATCGGTGACTGATGTCACTCCGTGGCTGACATATCAAAGAACTGGTGGATCAGCTGTGGTCGTTGGGTTCGCTGGAGATATTCGCGGATGGTTTCTTGCAATTCATACTTGACCGTATTGTATAACAACCGCTCATGTTCATCCGAATTCGCCGAGCCGAAGTGAACCACTACACCTGGTATGAGCCGGCCTTCTTGATACATCGGTTCTCGATGCTGCTACGACAAAGAAGATGCAGACGACTCCGCCCAACAAATCTATGCTTGATCTCACCCATGTCGGCGGCTGATACTGTTGGGCACACTGCACCAGTTGTGGATAGTTGGTGATCGTGATCAGAAAATGTGGATATCCTGCAGCTGCTTCCAACGGCGTGATGAACGCGCTCCTTTCCGACAATGACATGCGTGATAGCCGATGATCTAGAATATCCAGACATGCACACTAAAGAAGGTGACATTCTTACTGGTCTCGAATTCGGCCTCGTCCGGTGATGTTCGATGATATCGATGCATCAATCCCACGGATCCTAGCTGTGGTGGTTTGCGCTCGTCTGGCTTTGGTGGCCAGCGCATACCTTCTGTCGACCATGCGGGAGACAAGGGACGTGGACCCATCTAAACATGGAAGATCTGCACGTTTAGACACACTCTATATTAGTTCACTACGGTAGTCGGTTTCAGTTTGATCTGACCAGGTTTGGGCAACGAAGACATGCTGATCGATATGAATATCTACAAAAATAAGGTACTTGTTCGCCAGGGTCGCTCCTATGTGTTTCTTCTTCGACACTGCAGTATTTTCATTGGGGTGGATTTTATTCGACAAACATCTACAACTACTATTTGACACACTTCTAGAACAGAGCCATATTGTTAGACACGTCAATAATGAACTCTTCTTTTCTTTGCCTTCGAGACGGAGTCGTCCTCGATCGAATGCCTTCGACTCCATTCGAACAGGACGGGATATTGAAGGTATTGGGGCCGAGGACTGCGCTGTTGTGGTGACCATTCGTCGGCCAGTCGATACCATGGTGTCGACAAGGAATAATCGAACATAGTTCGATGTATCTGAACGTGAGCGTACAAGACTAACAAGTCGTTGACCATCGGTGTCCTTACTTGATGTTCCTTGGTCTTCGGTTGTGCGATCGGTGTGAACGATGTTGCCATCACGAGAAAGTAGAATGAAATCTACAACAAAGATTCGAACTCCGGACAAGTGGCACACCTATTTATGCAGTGGAGAACGGAGAGAACATCTGTACGCGAATCTATCTGTCCTTTGCAGTGATACTTTTCGGTTGAGGTCGACGCACTAATCCTTGGCACCAGTCGTCACCTCGAATCAACCATGGATCATTGAGAAATGCAATTGGTATGGTCTTTAATTTACATGCTGATGGTAGTATCAATAAACTCAATTGTCGGACAATCATGGACTTGGTCACCACCTTCAATACAAACCATTGATATATACAATGAATCAGCTGTTAATATTAGTTGGCAGTATAGCAATAGCGAAACTGTACCTTCTCTTGTACGATTAGCTGTTATCATATATAAACTTAACACCACCAATATGTATCGCACCATTTTCATCGTAGACGGTCAAGATCGTTTTAATTTTATATCATTCATGTTGGTGGACAATAATTTTTTGAAAAACAACGCATATTATGCTGTTATTCTTGAATATAATACAACTTATAAGTATGGAATCAATAAAACTCAAAACCTGGGGGATATAGTCAATTTAAATTGTTCAAGATGGCAACAACACCTATACCTAATGAAAGAAGAACTGCTAATGTAACATCAAATTCTGCTATTATTTCAATGATGTGGCCGTTAGAAATTCCTTGTTTCAAGCTTGAAATGAATGCAAAATTGAACGATAGGAATACAACTTTACCAGTCGAAACTACATTCGATGACAAATATTTAATCAACAAATATAGATTTGAAAAGGACGGGGGCGGATAAGACCCCTATTCGGCCCACGATGGTTCTCTATGACGCGCACGTCTGGTGACCCAGGGAGTTTGTCACCTCGACGCAGAACGAGACGGCGATTCCAAATATGCCGGGGTT